ACGCGCGATGGAAGGTTTCTCATAGACGAAAAAGCTAGGAATCCCCGGGGAATTTGGATGTCAAGGCGATGCTCACAGGGCGTGCACACTGGTTGACCATCCCGAAACGCGTTGCCGCATCGTGTCTCTTTCATAATGACGCATTGCATTCGCATAATCCCAGGGTAACAATGCCAGGCTTTGCTATTAGTGTTAACAGAGGAAAGCCAATACGAAGGCTGGGAAAATTACTGTCGGGGGCCGTGGCGGGACCCGCCTTTGTTATAAAAGACACGGAGACGAACGTTAGACGGACAGTGGCACACTACTGACAGATCGGAAAAATTAGTGCAATTCCTTGAGGAGCTAACTGGCTAACGTCAGCTCACGGAGAATGGCTTGCTTGAAACTTGTAAGTAGAGGTACATCTTGAACTGTTAATCGAGGCTTTCGAATTTCAGCCTTGTCCGATTGCTTTTAATTGACAAATTTTCAATAAAAGTCGGGGTTCGGAAAACAAAATTTCGCGTCGTTTGAGATAGTACTTATATGCGAATAATTAAACATTTTTTCGAATACACTCGATTGGTAGAAAATAATTTGTGACGTGAATACAATTTGCATATAAGCAGAAATTTAAACGACATGAAATTATCAGCCTTGACGAAGCTAGATGCAAAGCTGACAAAACGTTGGCAAAACAATTGCTTATGGCTCAAACATGGATATCTCGAGTAACAGTTCAAGAAATTCAGGCAGCGAACGCCTCAAAATTCTCGAGCAGTTATATAGAATATAGAGAGTGAGCAATGCAAAGAGGTCAATGACTAAATGAACTTGAAATTCCTTATTCTTATGTCTGAACCTTTTACGTCTACGATAAAACCTGTATGAGGGATTTTTTAAAAATTCTGCACGATGAAATTTATAAAATTGTCGCATCTTAACTTCGTAAATTTAATACGAAATATTTGGTTTAACACTTAAAAAGAAATTGTATAAGAATGTACTTGAATAGAGTTGTTAGAAACTTCTTCCAAGTATAGTGATTGGTACAATCCACGAATCTGAGAGAACCACTTATTCGTTCATTTATTTATGCACACTTTAATGGACTTTCATGCTCTCCCCTAGTACACAGTCCTGCTGCTGGCTGTCATCGTTGGCATCGTCTCTGCGAGACCAGGATTCTTGGGTGGATACGGATATGGCACCTACTATCCATTCCATTACGGTATCAGATACCCGATCTACGGTTATGGACACGGTTTCGGCCATTATGGTAAGAGAACACGATGCATGATGAGATTTAGAACACAAAAAGAAGTGCTTTCAACGTCAATGAATCCTTTGTATACTTCTCGACATTGAAAAAAATAATGTTCTCAACAAATTATCGATTCTCGCTCTAATTTCATTGACAAAATTTCACTCGGACAATTTCTCCTATATTTTCCTACCTTTGAAAAAAGAAACATAATCTTGAAATGAACAAAACATTCATCGACGTAGCACACGAATCTAACAGAGTAGACAAAACATTCATCGACGTTACTCTGCCATCCTAATCATGCTTTTCCCTTTAGGCTACCCGTCGTACGGTTATGGTCACGGATACGGTCACTATGGCGGTTATTACTAATCGAAAAGGCGACCGTTTGGATTCCACGATTCTCAAGGAAGACGCGTTTAGATTCGATGCATAATATCGACTCTATTATCGTAATCTTCTTTCACTGAAATATATATGGAACAATACTGTATGCAAACACGTCGATGGCAATTGTTATAGTTACTTTATACCACAAAACTGCGTTTGAAAATTGCTGAGCAAAAAAGCCGAGTAAAATTTCTGTTCCTGATGGACAATCGGATTCGCTTTGTACCTGATTAAACTTTATAATCACCTTATCATCGTGTCGTCGAGCAAATCGAGCAAATAAAGCGTAGATTTTAACGAAAGTGTCTTTTTTTCAAGCGTCTCATTGACAGGTCTCGCATAAACCTTCTCCTTAACACGTTCTCTATGATGCTGAAAGTAAAACTGCAAACTTGCTTGTTACAATTGACAAACGATATTTTCGCGTACGATTAAGCTACACGTTTAGTATCTCTCTAAATATCAAAGGACGTGACAAATTAATTATGCTCCCGTGGAACCTGAAATGCAAGTTTTTAATAAAAATAAATCTCGTCATATTTATAAAAAGAACGTCTTTCTCACGAAATTCCCCGTTATGATGTAAATAAATTGTTCCTGCTTCTTTTCTTTCCTCGAAGAATTTACACTGGAATAGTACCCGTGGAAAAAAAGGAGATAAATAAAATATGTATCGATAAATCGCCAAGGCGCGATTAAAGCGGATACGAAACACGCTTACGTTCGGTTGCGTGGCCGGGAATGTTAAGCGTAAGGCAGTATTTTCCATCGAGTTTCATAATATTGAATCACAACACGCGTCGATGATTAATCGTGAATCACGAAAACGCATCGGAGGCAACGTGACAGGCGGAAAGACAGAGGGAAGAAGAAACGTTGTTGGTTAAAAATGTGAAAGAAAACAAGCGTGACCGTCACTTTTAGTGTTTTGAAGAATGTTCGAAACGAACACACGAATTGCTCGGCCCATCTTTATCTTGGAAATTAGAGGCTAATGCGATATTCGTATGCACGAACTCGAAATTTCTGCTCGATGTTGCGAAATGTCACGAACACTTGGTCCCCGAGAGACGGTGAGTTTGAAGAGAGGATACGCCGTCGTTTTAGAGGAAATGATAATAAGGTTCAATGCTGTTTCGAAGATAACTCACACTGCGGATCTCTGGAATAAGATAATTGCTACGTTAAAACTTTTATAGTCAAGCTTTACCGAGTCGTAAAACCGTCAACGTTTGATATTACGCGTTGAAGGATCAACGTCAGACGGAGAGGAATTAATTGTCACGGTGTAAAAACATTTTCGCTGGGGTGACCTAGATGAACGGCCTTCTAACGCCGAGTGAATGGTGGACCTAGATATTTTTCGGCCTTCCAGCTGCTTCCTCCCATTTAACAGGTCCTCGATGTAACGAATCTCGAATTTATGTGTTTGTAATCCGCGGAGATGGGACGAGACGATTATCGAGGCTCAATAATTAAAAAGCAAATGAATGTAAATTCTTTTTTAAATTTGTCACTAATAATCACTGATACATCTTCCTTTATTTTATCCACTGCTGCATAATTTCTGTTTTATAAAATTAGTTCTGGGTGTTGTTTAAATGATTCGACGTAAATTAAGGGTAGTTAAAGTTAAAACTTCGAGATCGTAGATCCTCGCAAGAATGTAGATTACCATCTCCAAGGTACACAATATAGAAACGAATATTATGTCATCGAGGAAATTCCAAATTTAGCTGCCATTAAGCTTGCCGATTTGTCGAATTCGTGAACTTTTATATGTATATTAGGAGCCATTAACGTCGAATAGCAAATCACAAACCGATCCTCGTGTTATTACACATCTCCAAAGTTGCGAATAATTATTTATCCCATAAATAAAGTAGAAATTACCATCTCGCAGATAGTTGCCGAATGTTTCGATCTAAGTAAATCACCGGTTAGCGAACGTTTCTTTCTAATACCTTGCTCGACGAGAAATCTTTGTTGGTTGTACGCGAAAATACTGCAACTGATATACGTCGCTTTCACAGACAGGTTAATGAATTTAAAGGAAGGGACAAGGTAGACAGATGTTGCTGGAACGTGTTAAAATCGCGAAACACCGTTAAAATCCTGCTTCTACGTGCGTATTCCCGTTTAAATGGGCAACGTCGTCGCGATTAAGAGGGAACGCATCCGCGGTGATCCCCATGTGCAGGGGTCATCCGCGACATTTCAGGTCTCAGACTTTTACTTCGCCGCGAGTAAATCGCGAACCTTGCTGCAAGTGTAACTTTGACAGTCGTTCGCGTGTAACTTCCTTGTAAAAGCGTTTAAACGTAATTAGAGTCGCTTATTTCTTGAATTGAAGAAGAAAAATGGTCGACGGTCATACGAGAGATGATATAACAAGGATTAAATATTTATATCCGCTGCATATTTGGCGTTTTCGACGAAATGGCAGAATCGAGGATGTCGTTTTTGAAGAATGCCAGTGTTTTAAGGTGGAGTTCGAAAATCCAACTGAATCTTTTTTTTCTTCTTCTTTTTTTAACATACTCGAAATGTCAGATGTTGAAATTGTTAGGTTTCGTTTAAATATGACAAGGATAGAGTGCACGATAGGCGTAAGAACGAGAGATAGAAATCTAACGAGAAATTTATGCCACTTCTGGATAACTTTTTCACGTAACTTTCGAATAAAAACTAAGGGAAATATTGCACAATCGTGTTAGTCCACGTGGATCTGCTGCTGGATCTATCGGTATACCTTGTGTAATCGATTGCGATCATTTACGACATTTCATGTTTACCTTGATAATATTAGACGAGGGTTTCATCAACGATACGTCAAATTGTTGTAACACGCACGTCGATTTCTCACAATCGAAGTGTAAATCATTGAAAATCAATTTTTAAACATGTAAAGTACCCTTTCACGCTTAAATTTGTATTAGTAAATCAATAAATATGCATGTGAATAGCCTATAAGCATTTCCTGCTTTCGATTAAAAAAAAAAAGCAACCTTCTTTTAAACTGGAATTTCCAAGTTCTTTCGACAAAAAAAAAAAAAATTCATACTCCTTCCACTTCGAATTTCATTTTCTTCGCTCGAGAGCTAAACACATTAACGTATCGCACAGTGTTCGATCACACACACAAACCGTGTAAAAATCAAAAATTCTCGAAAGAATTATCTCCTCGAATCTTCATCTCCATTCGTACACAACTCAGAGTACAAATAGAGGTGTAAATTATGTTACAAGCATAACACGAGGAAAGAAGATCGTATCTATAGATCAGATCTACGTAACGCGTTCAAGAATCACGTCGGAACCTTCCACAGTTCGAACTTTGAATCTTGACCCGAAAAATCGAAAGATTAACCTGCTTTTTTTGGATCAAAAGACGATTTTTCGATAGGAAGCATAATTAACGCGGTCGAAGAGAAGATCGAAGGTCGAGCGAGACGAGATTGCGACCTTTTCCACGCAGTCCCTTCGTTCAGTTGGAAACTAAATTACGAGAGAAAGGTTAGACACATGGAAAAAGGAACTTCATTCATACATATGTGGAAATCAGGATACGATCGCGGTATTAATAACTCTCGATGAATAATTGCCTCCTCTCGATCCCCCATTACCGCGTTATTTCCGTGTCTACGAAGGAAAAGTATAGCTCGCCTCGTCGATGCGCGGTAATTATCATCTGGAGAAGGCTTTCTTCACGGAGAAGAATTCGAAAGGAATGATTATACCGGTGTAATTTCGATAATGAGCCCAGGATGGCTTAAAGTCGGTCTGCACTACTTGAGACGCGTCCCTTCGTATTCTGGTGGTTAATCTCCATAATCGTGGGAATTGAACCGCCATAGGGAGCCAGAAACGGCACGCCAATGTGGTTCACAACGTTTGTGCAACAAAAGTTGCGGCAAGGATGAAGAAATATGGTTAATAATGCCTGTATTGTTAGTAATTTAACGTAAAGTTCAGTTTACGATTCGAAGCAGAACAGAGGAACGAAGAGTCACGTTCCTTCGTTTTATAGCTCCGCTCTTCTAAACGTGCAAAAACGATCCAATGAAATTTCGAAGAACATTTTTTACGATTCCAAGCGTTCAACGTTGTACTAATTTTTATCCTCGTATTTTGAACGCAAAAAACAGAATTATCATGCATAAAAGTGGAAAGGTCGAAATCATGGTTTACCCGATGCTCAATCTGCGATTACTAAAGTGCAATTAAAATCGTACGTACGTGCATTTACACACAGATTGGCTCGTATTTCCAGATTCTTTCAAGGTTTCATCGGTGGAAATCTTTCGCGTGTAACACTTTATGATTGGTTATTACGAGCAACGAACAGGGATGCTGTCGAACAGACGAAGCAGTTGCTTAAGACTAACTGAATGCTTGATATTAAGTAGCGATTTCAATTGAGAATTGCAAATCCTTCTACGAATAAATTATTCCACGTACTCTTGAATTTTCCAATTTTTTATTTCTAACGTAGCAACTTGAGAAAGATATCTCCCCGAAGAATTTAAAGTACCACTTTTACATTCTATACGAATCGACTGGCGTCTGTTCGAAATAGATACAGGTAAATCGTGAAACCGTGTGTCACAATGTTAACACGAATTAAAGCTCCGAGATGTACTTACGTCCAATTAGCAACCTCTGCCGTGTTCGTTTCGTTATTTGTCTAACGAACGTCTTTGTTGCTGCAAGAAACAATGGCGGCATCGGTAAACGGTGCAGGTGCAAATATGTGAGCACACGGATCACCGGGAACGGTGAACTCACGTAACGTTCGCGATGATTACAGTCGATCGTCGAGCATCATTGTGTCCGAGGTTCTTCACCCGCATGAGAATCTGCGTGGATCTCGATGACGTTGATACAAACGAAACCTTGCATAACGCAGATTCTCCTATAACCATCTATTTTATCCAATTTTTCATTCTTTTCTTTTTTCATCGAAATCTTAACTCAAATAATAATTCCAAATGACAAGTTCCAAACAGCAAGTTGATGGAAAAAATTGACAAATACCGTAACTTTCTAATCTGTGCACATCTCTCCCGTTTTATTTTCTCATTTTTGCAACGTTGAACGTTCATACCGGTTGATTAACTAAGACTCCAATAATCATTCCACAATTCTAATTCCGCGACAAATTAGCCTCTTGCAAAAAACGAGCGAAGAAAGGCAACGGAGGCTGTCTCATCGATTTATTGCCGTACAATTACGGCGCCATTTACGCGCCCCTTCTACACGAGAACCCAACTCTTTCGTCTTTTCCTCGTGGATAACTTAATTACGCTCAATTATTCAGACACTCTCGCGACGTTACACGCTCGTGGATGCACGGTGATAAATAATTGGGCGAGCGTTTCAGATGCTTCGGGTGACACGAACGAACGCTAGCAGGGTGAAGCTTCCTCGCTGTCCCGTCGCGATGGCCGCGGGAGACCATAATTGCGACGTGTTACGCAGCTTCTCGGTG